CAGAATACCTTGGCCCGAACATGTGCGCAACGACGAGGTTTTAGAGAAAATGGAAGCAAAAAGGACACATATATTTAATATCCTGAAGATAGGGTTGAAATTTCTAGGGCACATAATGAGGAAAGAGGGCTTGGAAAATTTGATACTCACAAAACAGATTTAATACTGAAAGGACAGATGAAAACAACACATAACCTATCTAGCGAGCTGGAGTAAATGGATGGGGGACAAAGTTTAAACGACAAAAATATTAAGAACAACAAAGGACAGGAAGTTGTGGAGCGCCATGATCGCCTACATCATGAAGGGACATGGTACGTAGAATAAAAATAATAATAATAATAATAATAATAATAATAATAATGAAATGTATTTTCATGGTGTTCGTCTAATGTCGAAATTTGTTTACATTTCTAATTCTAACATCATGGCTTATTCCGTGCTTGTTAAATTGCAATGAACCTAATCTTTTTGAACAGTGAACTTTTTGACAGCTCTGGTTCAATCTCTTGTTCGTAAACTGGGATCATTTTACGAAAACCTTCACGCGTAAGAACATTAGTGTTATTTGGCAAAAGTAGTTCTCTGAAGAAGATCTCGCGACACGTTAGTTTATATATGTATCAAAACAAAATTTAAAATCTTGAATAAAATCATGAAACATAATCGAATCAAGTGTATTTAGTAGAATATTCCCATCTTAGCCATGCTTGTGCGAGTGTTACTTTCTGGCCATATTTAGATATTCCATGTAAGCAGCTTAGCACTTCCGCTGCTGTGGACGTTTTCAAGAGAAAATGAAATGTTGGCCCACAGTTTGCTTGCAAAAAAAAAAAAAAAAAAAAACTACCTAGCGTATGTTGCTATTTCCAAACCAACATAGACATACTGTAGTATATAATAAAACTGTTTTAATGTCCCATTTTTATTATATTGTGTATTGGGCGCGGTTTAATTTCCGCTGTACTATACGATATCTTATCGATACCAAAATGGCGGCGCCCATGGGAAATAACCATCAGCGATTTTATATTCATTTATTTCCAATAAACGTCAATTTCGAATTCTCCGACCCTCAACAAAAAAACAAAAACAAAACACCACCAGAAAACAATGTTGTAACAGTTCAACGATGAAAGAATTTATAGCTAAGATATAGCAAACAGAATCGGCTATCCGAGTTCAAATTCTGGGTGATTTTGTGTTCACACAAATGACAAATAACAAACTCTCGACACCAGTTCATGTTTTTTCCTCCCCACCCATCAAAATTCCCGCTCCTTAAGAGAGATACACAGCTTATCAGTTCCTGGGTGAAATGTCAAACTGGTTAAGATCAGGTGAATGGCAAGCAAATCTGCGACACTGGTATGAATATTTAAATTAACTTATTTAAATTCATCAAGACTAAATATGCCCATATTAACACTTCCAGTCAATTAAAATTACAAGCCATGAAATCCCTTCATGATGGAGTCATCAGTACATTATTATTATTATTATTATTATTATTATTATTATTTTTATTTTCTTTGATTTCTGGCGTTTACACATTTCTCTCCGGGTCCCGCCCAGGGACCTAAGGTTAGAAATGGCAGCATGACACTTTCCACTGACAAAAAAAAAAAAAAAAAAAAATTACATAGATAAAGCCCTTCTTAAAGTGTGGGCTGTACTTGTCAGAACAATTTTTTGTATCTCCTTGAGGCATGGACTTCCAGGAATCCCTTCAATTAGTCTACTGCAATATTTTCCAACCAGTCCTAGGGCTTCAACTACAACAGGGATTGTTGATGTTTTCATGTGCCACATTTTCGAGATTTCTGTTTCAAGGTCCTTGTATCTTGGCAGCTTTTTGAATTATTATTATTATTATTATTATTATTATTATTATTATTATTTTTTTTATTATTATTTATTATTATTATTATTATTATTATTATTATTATTATTATTATTATCAATTAGTTTGTTTGTAGCTTAAACGCAATCTCCATGGTCATGACGAATGCGTTGAATTATGAAAAAAACTATCGCCACTTGATGTTGACTTAAGTGTCCACTTTTATATTTACATACACTCTCTCTCTCTCTCTCTCTCTCTCTCTCTATATATATATATATATATATATATATATATATATATATATATATAGATAGAGAGAGAGACAAATGATAGATAGATAGATAGATAGATAGATAGATAGATAGATAGATAGATAGATAGATAGATAATATTAGTGGTAAATATACACATACATATGCAAAATATATGAATATATATACATATATGCATACACATACATATATATTTTGTGTAAAAAAAAAAAACATTCCAAGAGGATAGAATCCAGGTAGAACCCTATGTCCAGGACAGAGTAAGGATATAATAAAAAGGCTTAAACACTAATATTCCATGAACATAATTTATTCCATTAGAATCGTAAATACGATCCAATTCATCAGACCTACAAATTCAAAAAGAAAACAGAAAAAACAA